CCTGCATGGAGGGTGACGTCAAAGCCCTGGGACAGCCCATCGCACATGATGTCACTGTGTTGGTTAGATTATAAACCTGACAGGTCGGCTCGGTCCACACACACAGGTGGAGACAGAGACAGGTGGAGACAGACAGGTGGAGACAGACACAGGTGGAGACAGAGACAGAGAGGTGGAAACAGACACAGGTGCAGACAGACAGGTGGAGACAGAGACAGAGAGGTGGAGACAGACACAGGTGCAGACAGACAGGTGGAGACAGAGACAGATGGAGACAGACACAGGTGCAGACAGACAGGTGGAGACAGAGACAGATGGAGACAGACACAGGTGGAGACAGAGATAGGTGGAGACAGACAGATGGAGACAGACACGTGAGACAGACACAGGTGGAGACAGACACGTGAGACAGACACAGGTGGACACAGACAGGTGAAGACAGAGACAGGTGGAGACAGACAGATGGAGACAGACACGTGAGACAGACACAGGTGGAGACAGACAGGTGGAGACATAGACAGATGGAGACAGACAGATGAGACAGAGACAGATGGAGACAGACACAGGTGGAGACAGACAGTTGGAGACAGACACAGGTGGAGACAGTCAGATGGAGACAGACACAGGTGAGACAGACACAGGTGAGACAGACACAGGTGGAGACAGAGAGGTGGAGACAGACAGATGGAGACAGACACAGGTGGAGACAGTCAGATGGAGACAGACACAGGTGAGACAGACACAGGTGAGACAGACACAGGTGGAGACAGACACGTGAGACAGACACAGGTGGACACAGACAGGTGAAGACAGAGACAGGTGGAGACAGACAGATGGAGACAGACACGTGAGACAGACACAGGTGGAGACAGACAGGTGGAGACATAGACAGATGGAGACAGACAGATGAGACAGAGACAGATGGAGACAGACACAGGTGGAGACAGACAGTTGGAGACAGACACAGGTGGAGACAGTCAGATGGAGACAGACACAGGTGAGACAGACACAGGTGAGACAGACACAGGTGGAGACAGAGAGGTGGAGACAGACAGATGGAGACAGACACAGGTGGAGACAGAGACAGGTGGAGACAGAGACAGATGGAGACAGAGACAGGTGGAGACAGAGACAGATGCTGACAGAGACCGGTGGAGACAGAGACAGGTGGAGACAGACCGGTGGAGACAGAGACAGGTGGAGAGAGAGACAGGTGGAGACAGACCGGTGGAGAGAGACAGGTGGAGACAGACCGGTGGAGACAGAGACAGGTGGAGACAGACACAGGTGGAGACAGACAGATGGAGACAGACACAGGTGGAGACAGAGACAGGTGGAGACAGAGACAGATGGAGACAGACACAGGTGGAGACAGAGATAGGTGGAGACAGACAGATGGAGACAGACACGTGAGACAGACACAGGTGGAGACAGACACGTGAGACAGACACAGGTGGACACAGACAGGTGAAGACAGAGACAGGTGGAGACAGACAGATGGAGACAGACACGTGAGACAGACACAGGTGGAGACAGACAGGTGGAGACATAGACAGATGGAGACAGACAGATGAGACAGAGACAGATGGAGACAGACACAGGTGGAGACAGACAGTTGGAGACAGACACAGGTGGAGACAGTCAGATGGAGACAGACACAGGTGAGACAGACACAGGTGAGACAGACACAGGTGGAGACAGAGAGGTGGAGACAGACAGATGGAGACAGACACAGGTGGAGACAGAGACAGGTGGAGACAGAGACAGATGGAGACAGAGACAGGTGGAGACAGAGACAGATGCTGACAGAGACCGGTGGAGACAGAGACAGGTGGAGACAGACCGGTGGAGACAGAGACAGGTGGAGAGAGAGACAGGTGGAGACAGACCGGTGGAGAGAGACAGGTGGAGACAGACCGGTGGAGACAGAGACAGGTGGAGACAGACACAGGTGGAGACAGACAGATGGAGACAGACACAGGTGGAGACAGAGACAGGTGGAGACAGACACAGGTGTAGACAGAGACAGATGGAGACAGACACAGGTGGAGACAGAGACAGATGGTGACAGAGACAGGTGGAGACAGACTCCCTCTGCAGAACCTTTCTGGTCTCTGAGACCGCTCGAAGCGCTTTTTACTCTATATCACATTTACTGAGCCCAAGTGTTGAAACACAAACATTCACACCGGTGGACAAGCCATCGGGGGCAAATCAGGGTTCAGTATCCTGCCCAAGGACATTTCAACACGCTGCCTGGAGGAGCCGGGGATTGAACTGCCGATCTTGTGCTCGACCTCCTGAGCCACAGCCGCGCCTTTTGATTTACTTTCTGCTGTAATGGTTGTTTGGTGGTTTTTAATGAGGTTTTATAAAAGATGAAATGAGGCACCAGTGAGCATAGACTGTAATTAATATATATATACACACACACACACACACACACACACACAATCTGCATCAGGCCAACCTCTAGCCTTAGTAACACGCTCAAATAAGACAAAAAAGTATCAGGGTCCTTCTCATTAAACTGTGGCAGTAGTCTTAAATTATTAATATCAAAAGGAACGCACAGCTCCAGACAAATGCCTGCTCTGATCTCCACTCAACCCCTTACTGTCATTTGCCAAAGTTAAGCGGTGCCCTTCCAGATCTAATTTGGCCTGCTCTACTTCTTGCCGAATCCTCTCCACCTCAATCTGCTTTTTAATTTGCAACTCATGTTTACATTTGTCATGCTCAAGCTGAATCAACAACAGTTCCTTTTGTTGTTCAAACGTTAAGCCCTGAGTCTGAATAAGTGCACCAGCAGAAACTGTTGAGACTGGAGAATCATCTTCCACAGACAACACACCTTTCTCTCTCAACTCCGACTTCAAAGCCACCTTTATGTTCACTTTAAGGCGTTTGTCACCCATCACTACCGAGAAGTGCTCCGCAATCTTTAGCAGCTGCTCCTTAGTGCAACACTCCAATGCCTCTTCAGACAGAGCAGAAATAAACACATCACAATCTGCCATTACAACAAACTACAACTGGCACATCAAAACCACAGCAACAAACCCAGCAAGGCAGTGCAGCTTCCTCATGCGTATTAAGAGGACTAAACCTCACCTGGTATAGAGTTTCCCCGCTATCCAGATCAACCCAGCTAACTAACTCATCCCTAGTCTTCATGCAGCTACTTGTGGTGGGTATTTATGCACTAATGACCGCTGGCTTGGAAGAGCAACTAGCACACTAGCAACCCTCCCAAAACTACAGACATGCTCCCAAGCTAAAAGCTTCACCATTCCAACAGGCTGCCCCGCTCCCAACAAACTGGACCACAACACATAGGCCTACGTATCAAACACATTTCTACAAAAACAACAGTTATGTTTTCTAACTTACCAGGCTACAACAATACTATGGCTGCACTTATCAAATTGCCCGAATACTAAGACCGGACAAGCCCCCAAAAAGAGGGAACGAGGCAGCATAAATGATCAAAAAGTGATTTATTTAACAAAAGAGTGAACTAAATATAACTATTTCATTATGCAAGGTTTGTCGCTGTAATATAAATAACTCAAAGCAAGATGTAGCAGTCGGGGTGGTCAGGACATGGTGGACGTCTGGGTCGCAGAGAAAGCAGAAGAGCAAGTAGTTTGCCCACTGAATCACAGGTCCGAGGTGCACCCGATCACTGTATATATATATATATAGACTGTATATATATATATATACAGTCTATGCTCACTGGTGTGTGTGTGTATATATATATATATACACACACACACCAGTGAGCCAGGTCCTGTTTACTCTGACTGCTTTATTTAGCTTGTTCACTTCATGTTGGAATTCTGTAGCTTTTTGGATTTTCCTTGAAGCTTTGGCAGTGTTGTTCTTCTGAGCTCATGCCAATAAAGCACATTGAAATTGAAAACAGCTGTCTACGCTCCGTGCGTCATGACGTCACATAGCTCGTAAAAAGAGATGACGTAGTAAGAAAAAGAAGCGTCCTTTACCGGGAGGAAGAGGGCGAGCGTCCCGCACGCGGACAGGTAAAGACCTGCTGATGGCTTGATTTACAAGAGGGGTTTCTGATCACTGATAGAACTGATCAGCACTTTGTAATTGATTATCAGAGAGCGAGAGAGAGAGAGAGAGCATCATTTCTGCTTCATCACACTGCAGCTCAGGCGGGCGCGTGTGTGCGTGCGTGCGTGTGTGTGCGTGTTGCAGCGGGGTGTTTCCCCTGCAGGACCGCAAAGACTCCGGCAGTCCGGACCGGAAGACCTCCGTGTCTGTTCGGAGCTGCATGGATTCATCTCTAACATCTCTGATCTGTGTGTGTGACAGTGAACGCGGGGTTTCACGCGGGGTTTCACGCGGTGTCTGCGGATCACAGCTCAGGATCATCCGGTGATCAGCTGTGACCAGAAGCAGACTATTGATCTGCGGCAGGAGAACATCACATATTACTATTTACAGTCTAGAAAGGTTTCACTACGGAGAAACATATATATATATATATATATATATATATATATATATATATATATATATATATATATATATATATATATATATATATATAGTAAATAGTTATGTGTAACAGAATATATAGTGTTACATATAATATATACTGTTTAATAAAATTATACAGTAAAAGTAGAAATGAAAGAAAATACTACAATATATACAACAATAAAGCAGTAAACTAATGTAGAACCATCAGTACTACGTGGTCAGGGCGGAGCTGCAGGGAACACATGAATATTTTAAATGTTGGAGGCCACATGTTTCATCATCATCATCATCATCATCATCCTCGTCTGTCTGAATCCAAACCAGATTACAGTAGATTGTCTCTCAGCTCTAATCTCCCTGCCGCCTGCGTTACCGTGGCAACCCTTCACCTGACAGCTGGAGGGGTCAACCGATGGTAACCACGGGGCTCAGGGAGATGACCTCATCAGTCTGTGACCAGGGCCGCATTTATAAAACTACATCACAGTCAGCTCCGCCTCCCCTTCATACATCACAGTCAGCTCCGCCTCCCCTTCATACATCACTGTCAGCTCCGCCTCCCCACGCCGCCTCCCCTTCATACATCACTGTCAGCTCTGCCTCCCCACGCCGCCTTCCCTTCATACATCACAGTCAGCTCTGCCTCCCCACGCCGCCTCCCCTTCATACATCACTGTCAGCTCTGCCTCCCCACGCCGCCTCCCCTTCATACATCACAGTCAGCTCTGCCTCCCCACGCCGCCTCCCCTTCATACATCACAGTCAGCTCTGCCTCCCCACGCCGCCTCCCCTTCATACATCACTGTCAGCTCCGCCTCCCCTTCATACATCACAGTCAGCTCTGCCTTCCCTTCATACATCACAGTCAGCTCTGCCTCCCCACGCCGCCTCCCCTTCATACATCACTGTCAGCTCCGCCTCCCCTTCATACATCACAGTCAGCTCTGCCTCCCCACGCCACCTTCCCTTCATACATCACAGTCAGCTCTGCCTCCCCACGCCACCTTCCCTTCATACATCACAGTCAGCTCTGCCTCCCCACGCCACCTTCCCTTCATACATCACAGTCAGCTCTGCCTCCCCACGCCACCTTCCCTTCATACATCACAGTCAGCTCTGCCTCCCCACGCCACCTCCCCTTCATACATCACTGTCAGCTCTGCCTTCCCTTCATACATCACAGTCAGCTCTGCCTCCCCACGCCACCTTCCCTTCATACATCACTGTCAGCTCCGCCTCCCCACGCCACCTTCCCTTCATACATCACTGTCAGCTCCGCCTCCCCACGCCGCCTCCCCTTCATACATCACTGTCAGCTCTGCCTTCCCTTCATACATCACTGTCAGCTCCGCCTCCCCACGCCACCTTCCCTTCATACATCACAGTCAGCTCCGCCCCTCATGCCTCGGGCCGCTAACAGCAGTTTTATGGTCTGAGCGAGCTAGCTGCTGGCTGCTAGTCAAAGTTCCACAGTGCTACAGAGCACAATCATTTCTGCTGTCCTTTCATCACTTCCCAGGAAACTCAACAAACGTAACCTATTGGCCTCAAGTGAAGATACCAACGATGGTCGTTCAGTCTTGGCCACAGGTAGTCTCAACGACCGTAACGACTGTCGTCACAGCAACAAGGAACACTAACGAACCAGCGGTATCGATGACCCGGGCCAACGACCCCACTGAGGTTAAATAGCTGAGTTTCCCTGCCAGTCAGTCAGAACTGAAGAAGTCCTTTGGATAAGGGACGAAACGTCTTCCAGTATCTTCAACCAAGTCCAGTTGCCCTTGATTTTAACCTTCGTTGGACATGTAGCTAACGTTATATTGTTACCTTCAGGGCGTGTCTATCAAGTCCGTTTTCCAACATTGGCGAGCCTGCTAGCCACATTAGCCGCGCAATATGCTAACGCCAAGTAGCTAACCTACAAAACAAACAGTAAAACAACATGGCAACACGTCGTGTCACGTCCAGCACATGGAAATCCATCCTTGAACCATTTCAGAGCTTGTTACGCTTGTGGAACTTCTGAAGCACTAATTTATTAATTTAACAGAAAACAACTGTCCAGTCAGAGCAGAGTATGTAAACGACACACAGCTTCATGAGAGGCCACAGTACTTTGTGTAATATATAAAGGAGGTGATGGCGCAGTGGATAAGACACATGCCTTTGGGGTGGGAGACCGAGTTCACTCTGTGACACATCCACGGTGACCGTGTTGTCAATGTCTCTCAGGTGAATCACCATGACGACAGAGCCAGGTGAGCCACAGGAGGCCCAGCCCAAAGAGGCGGAGTTGTTCCCTGAAGCCGCCGCCCACTCCACACCTAAACAGGTAAAAACACAAAGAAATAAACAATCGATGAACAAATTACTAATCTGAAATGTGACATCACTTCCTGCGTCCTCAGGGAGGGGAGGGCGGGCCGTCCCCGAGCCAAGCTCAAAGCTCATTGGCTGAGGACTCGACTAGTCACCTGTCTTCGAGCAGTCGAATCGCTCGCTCCCCGGCAAGAAACCCGCTGAGCTTTAGGACGATGCAGACCAAAGTGACCCTGCTGGATGGCTCGCTGTTCACCTGCACTGTGGAGGTGAGACAGGTGGAGGAGGGGAGACAGGTGGAGGGAAAACAGGTGGAGGAGGGCAGATAGGTGGAGACATGGGAGACACGTGGAGGCAAGACAGGTGGAGATGAGACAGGTATGGACAGGTGGAGGTGTATAAACTTAATGTGGAACCTGCTCCTCTCTGCAGAAACGTGCTCGTGGTCTGCAGCTGTTTGAGAAGGTCTGTGAACACATCAACCTGCTGGAGAGAGACTACTTTGCTTTGTCCTTCAGAGACGCCGACAACAACAAGGTACCTGTCTACCTGTCTGTCTACCTGTCTACCTGTCTGTGCGATGACGTTTACCTTTTGTCTTCCAGAACTGGTTGGATCCGGCGAAGGAGATGAAGAAGCAGGTCAGAGGTCAGCAGCTCTGCCACCTCTCTCTAGTTTTGGACACCTGATTTTTTGATCTGGTTAGTTCAAGTCAACTGTCTCCACTCTCTTTGTCTTTCAGGCGTTCCCTGGAACTTCTCCTTTAATGTCAAGTTTTACCCTCCAGACCCCGCCCAGCTCTCTGAGGACATCACCAGGTAGTTTAACTCACCTGTCAGTCAAAGCTCAGCAGTGTCATACATGTTTTTTCGCCTGTTTGTATAGTTAAGAAATGTGATGGCTTCCTCTACATGTCTGCAGGTACTTCCTGTGTCTCCAGCTCAGACAAGATATAGTTTCTGGTCGTCTTCCGTGTTCATTTGCGACTCACACTGTCCTAGGCTCCTATACCATCCAATCAGAGCTTGGAGACTATGATCCTGGTACTGTACTCTACTGTACTACTGCTACTCTACTACACTCAGCTGAATCCTTCCTTCCCCTGTTATACCCTTCTATAACATACAATGCCATACTGCTCCTTACTCCGCCGTACCCGGCCATACATTCTCTGCCGTACCCTTATTTACCCTGCCATACCCTACTGTACCCTGCTATATATTCTCTGGTTGGCCCTTCTTTACCCTGCCGTACCCTACTGTACCCTGCCATATATTCTCTGGTATACTCTTCTTTACCCTGCCGTACCCTACTGTACCCTGCCATATATTCTCTGGTATACTCTTCTTTACCCTGCCGTACCCTACTGTACCCTGCCATATATTCTCTAGTATACTCTTCTTTACCCTGCCGTACCCTACTGTACCCTGCCATATATTCTCTGGTATACTCTTCTTTACCCTGCCGTACCCTACTGTACCCTGCCATATATTCTCTAGTATGCTCTTCTTTACCCTGCCGTACCCTACTGTACCCTGCCATATATTCTCTGGTATACCTTTCTTTACCTTGTCATCCCCTACTGTACCCTGCCATATATTCTCTGATGAGCCCTTCTATACCCTGCCATATATTCTCTGGTATACTCTTCTTTACCCTGCCGTACCCGACTGTACCCTGCCATATATTCTCTGGTATACTATTCTTTACCCTGCCGTACCCTACTGTACCCTGCCATATATTCTCTGATGAGCCCTTCTATACCCTGCCATACCCTACTGTACCCTGTCATATATTCTCTGGTATACTCTTCTTTACCCTGCCGTACCCTACTGTACCCTGCCATATATTCTCTGGTATACTATTCTTTACCCTGCCGTACCCTACTGTACCCTGCCATATATTCTCTGATGAGCCCTTCTATACCCTGCCATTTGTTTTCTGATATGACCTGACTGTCTCTGACGACCTGTCTCTCTCTCTCTGTGTTTCCTATGACCTGTCTGTCTCTGACCACCTGTCTCTCTCTGTCTCGGTGTATTTTCAGACGAGTGTGGCTCAGATTATGTCAGTGAACTCTGTTTTGCTCCGAATCAAACAAAAGAAATGGAGGAGAAGATCATGGAGCTGCATAAATCATACAGGTTCTTATAGATGAATTAAAAAGACATTTAAATATTATAAAATGTAAGGGAACCAAGCAGGTTTTAACACATGTGATTGTGTGTTTAGAGGAATGACACCAGCTGAAGCAGAGCTGCACTTCCTGGAAAATGTGAAGAAACTGTCCATGTACGGAGTCGACCTTCATCACGCAAGGGTAAGAAACACACCAACACACCAGTGTTACTGTCAACACTGTTACTGCTAGTGGAGGTCCAAACCTCAGTACTTCAACAACATACTGCTGGTTAGCATTGTTAGCACTGCAGTGTCTGCATCAGTTAAACTACAAACTGCTGTGAACAGTTACATTAAATAAATCCTATATTTTCTTAACAGGACACATTTAAGTGTTTATAAGTGGAAACATTCTTTTCCAGCTATTTAAAGCTGCATTAACTTTTTAAGATTAAATCATCTTATTTGGTATCCTGAGTTTCTACTCGTACAGACACAGTGTGAGGGGATCAGTACTGCTGATCTTCTGCTTTCTGCTGCTCAACAATCACCAATACATGACCCACTTCCTGTCCACAATCAATTATGTGCGTGTGTGCACACGTGTGTGCGTGTTCAGGGTGACATTAATGATTTTTCCATCATGGCTGCTCTCCATTGATTCAGGCTCTCTGTGTGACAGAGTGAAGCCTGCAGATCAAACAGCTGGTCCAGCTCTGCTTCATGCAGTCAGATCTGAACCAGCAGCAGGTCTGACAGGATCCACAGAGACCTGATCTCACAGATCAATCACACACCACAGCGACACGTTGGAAGGATTTGAAAACAGGGTTGGATTCTACAGTTAAATAACGTAATGGATAACTTCAATACTTCATGTATTAATACTTCTCCTCAGTAACACTGAGTACAGATGAGGTGTATTAATACTTCTCCTCAGTAACGCTGAGTACAGATGGTGTGTATTAATACTTCTCCTCAGTAACGCTGAGTACAGATGGTGTGTATTAATACTTCTCCTCAGTAACGCTGAGTACAGATGGTGTGTATTAATACTTCTCCTCAGTAACGCTGAGTACAGATGGTGTGTATTAATACTTCTCCTCAGTAACGCTGAGTACAGATGGTGTGTATTAATACTTCTCCTCAGTAACGCTGAGTACAGATGGTGTGTATTAATACTTCTCCTCAGTAACGCTGAGTACAGATGGTGTGTATTAATACTTCTCCTCAGTAACGCTGAGTACAGATGTGTGTATTAATACTTCTCCTCAGTAACGCTGAGTACAGATGTGTGTATTAATACTTCTCCTCAGTAACGCTGAGTACAGATGGTGTGTAGTGCACGTATCCACGGTAACCTCGAGTTAATCACGAACAAAACCTGCTCAGAGCAGTTTAGAGATGCAGCGTAAATCACCATGGCAACAGCCCTCGGTAACTGTCCAGACCCAGACCCTACTGACCCAGACTCCGCAGCTCCAGACCCCACAGATCCAGACCCCACAGACCCAGACTCCACAGCTCCAGAGCCCACAGATCCAGACCCCTCAGACCCAGACTCTACAGCTCCAGACTCCACAGATCCAGACTCCCCAGACCCCGACTCCACAGCTCCAGAACCCACAGATCCAGACCCCTCAGACCCAGACTCCACAGCTCCAGACTTCACAGATCCAGACCCCTCAGACCCAGACTCCACAGCTCCAGACTCCATAGATCCAGACCCCTCAGACCCAGACTCTACAGCTCCAGACTCCACAGATCCAGACTCCCCAGACCCCGACTCCACAGCTCCAGAGCCCACAGATCCAGACTCTACAGCTCCAGACTCCACAGATCCAGACTCCCCAGACCCCGACTCCACAGCTCCAGAGCCCACAGATCCAGACCCCTCAGACCCAGACTCCACAGCTCCAGACTTCACAGATCCAGACCCCTCAGACCCAGACTCCACAGCTCCAGAGCCCACAGATCCAGACCCCTCAGACCCAGACTCCACAGCTCCAGACTTCACAGATCCAGACCCCTCAGACCCAGACTCCACAGCTCCAGAGCCCACAGATCCAGACTCCTCAGACCCAGACTCCACAGCTCCAGAACCCACAGATCCAGACCCCTCAGACCCAGACTCCACAGCTCCAGACTTCACAGATCCAGACCCCTCAGACCCAGACTCCACAGCTCCAGACTCCATAGATCCAGACCCCTCAGACCCAGACTCTACAGCTCCAGACTCCACAGATCCAGACTCCCCAGACCCCGACTCCACAGCTCCAGAGCCCACAGATCCAGACTCTACAGCTCCAGACTCCACAGATCCAGACTCCCCAGACCCCGACTCCACAGTTCCAGAGCCCACAGATCCAGACCCCTCAGACCCAGACTCCACAGCTCCAGACTTCACAGATCCAGACCCCTCAGACCCAGACTCCACAGTTCCAGAGCCCACAGATCCAGACCCCTCAGACCCAGACTCCACAGCTCCAGACCCCACAGATCCAGACTCAGCTCCAGACTCCACAGACCCAGACCCCACAGATCCAGACTCCTCAGATCCAGACCCTACAGACCCAGACTCCACAGCTCCAGACCCCACAGACCCAGACTCCTCAGACCCAGACTCCACAGCTCCAGAGCCAGAAACACCTGCAGGAAGTGACAGGAGGAGAGAGGAGAGAGGAGAGGGACGAGAAAGCACAAGACTACCAGAAAGGGGAGAAGTTGTGTTAGTAACATGCAATAATGGGATGAGGTTGCACACAGAGGGAGAGAAAGTAGAGGAGAGAGGAGCTCAGTGCATCATGGGAAATCCCCCGGCAGTCTAGGCCTATAGCAGCATAACTAAGGTCCCAGATACCCTGAGGCTCCACTGTTTACCAATGGGGACAGTTGCAGACTGGACCCAGATGCACAGCGCCCGTCAGCGGTCGGAGGACACAAGACTTTTTGACAGGGATCCAAACGAGAGTCTTCACAGACTACATTACATTCTGTATCACAACCACAGTGATGTTGTGTTTCAAGGTGTTGTGGAGGCTTTAGCATTTAGACCAGCTGTTCTGTTCTGTCTTTGTCTGTCTGTCTGTCCGTGTGACTGGAGTAGATGGTAGGAAGCCGCTTTGATTGCTTGCCTTCCGCAAAGTCCGAGGTAAGACTATTTCACCTGCGTGCACGTGTGTTCGTATGTGTTTGTGTTGAGTGTGTGTGAGTTTTCATGCAAACATCTTCATATCATGTCTTTATTCTGCTACCCACAACCCACAGCAGCCCTCCCATGCCATGACCCCACCCTAATCTAAAGCTATGAACCAGTTCATTACACCGTACAGGGCAGGGGCCCCTCAGTGCTGGGCTTGGGTAGTAAATGTACTGCGGTGCTGGACTCTGGTCTTCAGACGTTCTGGACGGTGTGGCCTTTACATGGACCAACCGAGCATCCTGGTTTTAGGGCTATCTTCTAATATAATTGTGTTTTTGTTCACACTCAACTGCAGGTTTAGGTTGTGTCCTCTTTAGGACTTGTTGTTAATCCAGAGGAAACTCAACCCAAGCACCCAGCAGCAGAGAGTTTCAACCCCTCGCTGACTCAAATTCCCCTCCCTTTGATTTCTGTGTGAAACGGAGCGACTCATTTGCTCCTGGTCATGAACTGATCTGCCTCCTTTACTTCATGCAGAGTTCAGCCAATCAGAGAGAGGAGGCGGAACGCTCATTCAGGAAATATTGTTTGTTTATATTCTTGATTCATAAGTGCAGCTGATACAAGCAGCCGATTGGCTGCAGTGAGTGATGGACAGTGACGGAGATTCATGTGTCTTTGTGGGCTGTGTCTCAGAGACTGTCAGAGGACAAACTGTGAATCCTGTTTTAGGAAGAAGAAGCTATTTAATCTCTCTGAGTTGGGCACATAGTTCTTAAAGGAATGTAAAATAAAATGTTCCATTTCAGTCATTCACGAGTCCATGGTTTGTGTGTGTGTGTGTGTGTGTGTGTGCGTGTGTGCAGGACTCAGAGGGCGTGGCCATCATGCTGGGCGTGTGCAGTAGCGGTCTGCTGGTCTACAGAGACAGACTGAGAATCAACAGGTTCTCGTGGCCAAAGATCCTGAAGATCTCATACAAAAGGAACAACTTCTACATCAAGATCCGACCTGGAGAGGTGAGACCCCACACACACTTGAGCACCACAGAAGAAGAGTTCAGACATGACCCCTTAATGAAGGACATACGCCAGAGTCCTGTCAACGTGTCCCATTCATCATCCGAGCTTCCTGGCCCCCGCATTGATCCTAGCAAACGGGTTAGGGGTTCCTAAGTTCCCTGTTCCTGTGTGTGCCTGTTGAACAGCAGGACTCAGTGTGGCACTTTATGTTCCACCTGTCCCAGAGTCTGTCTGTCCCCAGTTTGACCAGGTGGGGTCTATCTCTGTCCCCAGTTTGACCAGTTTTACTCTGTGTCTGTCCGCAGTTTGACCAGTTTGAGTCGGTCTCTCTGTCCCCAGTTTGACCAGTTTGTGTCCGTCTGTCCCCAGTTTGAGTCTGTCTGTCCCCAGTTGGACAAGTTTGAGTCTGTCTCTCTGTTCCCAGTTTGACCAGTTTTACTCTGTGTTTCTGTCCCCAGTTTGACCAGTTGAATCTGTGTCTGTCCCCAACTGACTTAAGTTTGCCTCTCTGTCCCCAGTGTGACTCTGTCTCTGTCCCCAGTTTGACCAGTTTGAATCTGTGTCTGTCACCAGTTTGACCAGTTTGAGTCTACCATTGGTTTCAAGCTGCTTAACCACAGAGCTGCAAAGCGACTGTGGAAGGTCTGCGTGGAGCATCACTCCTTTTTCAGGTCAGTGGTTCAGGGTCCTGAGGAGATGATGAAACACGATGCAACGTACAACCACCTGAAACAACACCTATCTGTCTGTCTCTTCACCTTCCTGTCTGTCTCTCAGGTTGGTGTCTCCAGAGGAGACCCCAAAGAAGTTGCTGTCTCTAGGTTCAAAGTTTCGGTACAGCGGTCGGACTCAGATTCAGAGTCGCAGAGCTAGTGCTCAGATCTCCAGACCTGCACCGCATTTCCCACGATGCATCAGCAAGAGGAACATGCTGAGCCGCAGCCTAGACGGAGGTACTCATAATGATCATACTAGTACTGGTCCCTGTAGAAGTACTGGTACCTGTCCGAGGAGTAGTAGTATTGGTCCTTGTAGTAGAATGGTCCCAGTTGTAGAAGTACTGTACCCAGCAGTATTTGTCCTGCTCGTGGTAGTAATTCTGGTCCCAGTAGTCATTTTAATGGTCTACATATCAGTAATAGTTGTCCCAGTAGTAGTAGTAGTAGTAGTAGTATTCCTGGTATTCGTAGTTGCAGTACTTATGCTAGTAATTATAGTCCTGGTCTCAGTCCTAGCAGTCACAGCACTGTTGATCCTGACAACTGATTCATTTGTAGTTTTAGGTCTGGTCACCAATTTTGTAGTTTGGTTTCATTTAGTTGTAGTTCTTGTCCCAGTAGTCATAGTTATGATCCCAGTAGTCATAGTTCTTGTCCCAGTAGTAGTGGAACAGGTTCCAGTAATTTTAGTACCAGAAGTGTCCAACTTGCAGCAGCATTTTGGGGCAATAAAACTATTAAATCGTAATGTTTTTATTGCTGACTATCTTGAATGTGTCTGTATACTTGTCCCAGTAGTCATAGTTATGATCCCAGTAGTCATAGTTCTTGTCCCAGTAGTAGTGGAACAGGTTCCAGTAGTTTTAGTACCAGAAGTGTCCAACTTGCAGCAGCATTTTCGGGCAATAAAACCATTAAATCGTAATGTTTTTATTGCTGACTATTCTTGAACACGTCTGTATACTTGTCCCAGTAGTCATAGTTATGATCCCAGTAGTCATAGTTCTGGTTCCAGTAGTAGTGGAACGGGTTCCAGTAGTTTTAGTCCCAGACTTGTCCAACCAGCAGTAGCATTTTGGGGCTTCAGGATTTAATGGTGTTATTGGTAACTATTCTTGAACTTGTCGGTATACTTGTTGCAGTAGTCATAGTTCTGGTTCCAGTAGTAGTTCTGGTCCGAGTACTAGTGTTCTGTGACAGATCAGTTCTTTCTTGTTCTTGTTGGTGACCAGAGTTTTTAATTGGTCCTCAGCTTCAAGGGCCACGCCCACATCCTCTCTGATTGGCTCTCCAGCCATCACAGCATCCCCCAAAGCCAACGGTGGTGCTTACACAGGTAGAGCTCATTACTGTTGTAACACAGCTGTTGTCTGCGGTAGTACTGTAGTAGTACTGCATTGTGATTGGCCACAGCTCTGAATGCTTCACTTCATTCAGCTTGTCAGGGAATGCTGCCACCTGATTAGTAGAGGGGCTGTGCTTCATTTAGACAGATAAGCTGGGTAAATTTCTGTCCAATCAGATCTTCTGTTTCTGCTGATGTCATCACATGAGGTCAGACATACTGTCAAACTGTGAAATACGTCAGGGACTAATCAGACTGAACAGGACTGAAGACAACATGTACCAACAGACAGGCAGGGAGGGAACGACCGGATGAAACACGTCAGGGACTAATCAGACTGAACAGGACTGAAGACAACATGTACCAACAGACAGGCAGGGAGGGAACGACCGGATGAAACACGTCAGGGACTAATCAGACTGAACAGGACTGAAGACAACATGTACCAACAGACAGGCAGGGAGGGAACGACCGGATGAAACACGTCAGGGACTAATCAGACTGAACAGGACTGAAGACAACATGTACCAACAGACAGGCAGGGAGGGAACGACCGGATGAAACACGTCAGGGACTAATCAGACTGAACAGGACTGAAGACAACATGTACCAACAGACAGGCAGGGAGGGAACGACCGGGTGAAACACGTCAGGGACTAATCAGACTGAACAGGACTGAAGACAACATGTACCAACAGACAGGCAGGGAGGGAACGACCGGATGAAACACGTCAGGGACTAATCAGACTGAACAGGACTGAAGACAGCATGTACCAACAGACAGGCAGGGAGGGAACGACCGGGTGAAACACGTCAGGGACTAATCGACTGAACTGGACTGAAGACAACATGTACCAACAGACAGGCAGGGAGGGAACGACCGGGTGAAACACGTCAGGGACTAATCGACTGAACTGGACTGAAGACAACATGTACCAACAGACAGGCAGGGAGGGAACGACATGGGTGAAACACGTCAGGGACTAATCGACTGAACTGGACTGAAGACAACATGTACCAACAGACAGGCAGTGAGGGAACGACCGGGTGAAACACGTCAGGGACTAATCAGACTGAACAGGACTGAAGACAACATGTACCAACAGACAGGCAGGGAGGGAACGACCGGGTGAAACACGTCAGGGACTAATCAGACTGAACAGGACTGAAGACAACATGTACCAACAGAAAGGCAGGGAGGGAACGACCGGATGAAACACGTCAGGGACTAATCAGACTGAACAGGACTGAAGACAGCATGTACCAACAGACAGGCAGGGAGGGAACGACCGGGTGAAACACGTCAGGGACTAATCGACTGAACTGGACTGAAGACAACATGTACCAACAGACAGGCAGGGAGGGAACGACCGGGTGAAACACGTCAGGGACTAATCAGACTGAACAGGACTGAAGACAACATGTACCAACAGACAGGCAGGGAGGGAACGACCGGATGAAACACGTCAGGGACTAATCAGACTGAACAGGACTGAAGACAACATGTACCAACAGAAAGGCAGGGAGGGAACGACCGGGCGAAACACGTCAGGGACTAATCAGACTGAACAGGACTGAAGACAACATGTACCAACAGACAGGCAGGGAGGGAACGACCGGATGAAACACGTCAGGGACTAATCAGACTGAACAGGACTGAAGACAGCATGTACCAACAGACAGGCAGGGAGGGAACGACCGGGTGAAACACGTCAGGGACTAATCGACTGAACTGGACTGAAGACAACATGTACCAACAGACAGGCAGGGAGGGAACGACCGGGTGAAACACGTCAGGGACTAATCAGACTGAACAGGACTGAAGACAACATGTACCAACAGACAGGCAGGGAGGGAACGACCGGGTGAAACACGTCAGGGACTAATCAGACTGAACAGGACTGAAGACAACATGTACCAACAGACAGGCAGGGAGGGAACGACCGGGTGAAAAACGTCCGGGGCTAATCAGACTGAACAGGACTGAAGACAACATGTACCAACAGAAAGGCAGGGAGGGAACGACCGGGTGAAACACGTCAGGGACTAATCAGACTGAACAGGACTGAAGACAACATGTACCAACAGACAGGCAGGGAGGGAACGACCGGGTGAAACACGTCAGGGACTAATCAGAACCGGAAACAAAGCGGAACACAGACAACTGATTCGGACACTTTTAAAGTTAAACAGGAAGTGAAGCTTATGAAAACACAAGAGGATGAATTTGACAATGTAAAACAGAAAACATGGAATGAATGCAAACTGAAAAACAAAACGTTGTCAAGAACACAGAGACAGGAAGTGACAGATAAACTAAAACAGAAACTATCACTGAACACCTGCATCCTGTGATCAATTACATGATCAGATGAAGAAACTGTTTATCATGTGACAGGTTTAAATAAAGCAGGTGTTTTTCGTCCAGTTCAGCAGTAGATAGCATTTATCTAGAAAGACTGAAGCCCCCGCTCCTCACCCAGTGGGTCAAATTTTGATTTCATGAGCTCGACAAGGAGGTCATCTTAGCATAATTGGCCACTTCATCATTATTAGAATAATTAGCTTCACTAGCACTGTTAGCGTTGGTACAATTGTTATGTTAGTGAGCACTGTTAGCTGTTGTTAGCATTGCTTGTATCTCGGGTAAGAAGCAGCGTGATCCCAGATAATAACACTTGTTTGAGATGAGCCAGACCGGTGCAGACGTCTCACTGACTGCAATGCATGATGGTTAGTGATTCTATCCAACTTGCTCTCATTTTTTATTCTCAAGCACGTTGATCATCCACGGTTTATCTGTCAGGCTAAGTAACCAGTCAGGACATTTACTGGCGGATGGCGTTCATCCTGTCCGCCTCCTTTCAATGATACTTTCCATTGATCCACTTCAGCGGCGACTCTGACGATGTTGCAGTTGCAGCTGCTGGCCATGCGTTACGACCCCTCCTCCCACCGCAGTCTCAACTGTCCTTTGCTTTCGAGGCGTGCTGCAGCTCATCTCAAACAAGCCCAGTGACAGGTCATGGCTTCATGGTGGGTCTGATTGCTGATTGGCTGATTGGCCCAGACTGCCTTGCATGCCCCCTGAGCTCTGATTGGCTGAACGTGCCGTTGCCTTGACAACGAGCCGTGGTGATGCTTTGCTGCAGATGAAGGCCGACGGCGCCACAGTGGTCGCTATAGTTACTGCTGCTGCAGCTGGCTGGTGGTTGCTATGGTTATGTTCACTGTGGTTGCTGACATCACAGTTGATGTGTGTGTGTGTGTGCAGATATGGGTACGGGGCTGTACGGAGCGTCTAAAGCCATCGCCGTCAGTGACCTCATCACCACGGTAACGCCTGAGAGGAGGACAGAGGAGAGGAAGTCGGAGCAAGGTACTGAAAACAACCAATCAGAGGAGACACATTAGGCCAGGTGACTGAGACTGTAAAACCAACTGACACCTCCTTCCTTGTCTCCTGTCTCCTAGTTGAGGAGGTGCTGGTGATGGAGGAGGAGGTGCAGAGGGTGGAGGTAGATAAAGAGGAGGTGCAGCAGCAGGATGAGGAAGAGGAGGAGCAGACCAGAGTGACAGAGATTTCTCAGCAAAGTCCTCCAACTCCTCAGAGACAGGACACCAAGGTAACAAACACCTGTCTCACGTGTCTCACCTGTCTGCTGACTCATAGACAAATAGAAATGTGATAGATATGATCCAACAAAGGTCGAGGTCAAGGGCAGCTGCACTTGGCTGAAGATACTAGAAGACGTTTCGTCCCCCATACAAGAGACTTCTTCAGTTCTGAGTGGGAAACTCAGCTATTTAACCTCTGAGGGGTCGTTAGCCAGGATCGTCGATACCGCTGGTTCGTTAGTGCCCCTGGCTGCGGTAACGACAGTCGTCATGGTCGTTAGAGCCACTCGAGGCCAAGTCTGAACGACCATCGTTGGCATCTTCACCTGAGGCAAGGACGAAACGTTTGTTCAGTTTCCTGGGAAGTGATGAAAGGACAGCCTTGTAGGTGCGGGAAAAGTGGTGTTGCAGACCTCCTCCCCTGTTGAGAGATGGTTTATCTACCCTGGCCTCCTTGACACCTCTTTCAAACCATCCATCCTTCCTGTCCAGAATATGCACTGTGTTGTCCTCAAAACAGTGAGGGACGAAACGTCTTCGAGTATCTCCAACCAAGTCCAGCTGCCCTTTATTTTTACTGTCCTTGGATAACTGTGGCCTAGATGACTGAGAACAGACATCCTGCTAAGCATTTTGGGTTAAAGATGTGAATGTGTCAGACTGAAGATGAACTCTGTGTGTTCAGACCGAGGTGACCGACACCGCGGTGGACGGAGACCTGACGGCGACGGAGGTACAGCCGATCACACCGCCAGTTACATCTGCTCTCACCTGAACTCAGCACGCAGCTACACAAGAAATGTCCCTAACACCAACCTGTGTTTTTGTCTTCCAGTCTGATCAGGATGAAGACCTGAAAACACAGGTAGGACTGATCGTCTTGTTTATGCTGACATGTTGTCTACTGACACTCAGTGTTTGTCTCTGCTGTCGGCCTCCAGGAGACGTTGGGGAGTCCAGAGGAGGAGCAGAAACCTCAGAGCACCATCAGCGCTCTCAGGCGTTCCTTCTTAGAGGGGGGAGGAGGAGGAGGAGGAATGACAGAGTGGGAGAAACGTCTCGCCTCCTCGCCACTACGTCGAGTCGACGACTCCCCGATGATTGAACCTCTGGAACCAGACGAGGTGAGGAGAGCTTGATCATCTGCTCGTGAATACAGTTTTAGACCAGCTGACGTTCAGCTGCTTCAGAATACTCAAACGTTAGGCCAGCCGGCGGCGCCAGCATGGAAACGTCTCCACAAGGCGTTTTATTTTAGCGAACACCAGTTATATTAATAAAGAGCTCGAGTGGTGCAGCTCTGATTTATTTCAGTTGCAGCATTTTGAAGTTGTGAGATTGTGGATGTGTTCAGTCAGTGCGTTCAGACGTCCTCTTAGTGAGTCTGGCAGACCTCTGTCCCGGACCCGTCCCAAAAACTATTTTAACCGAAGTGATCTTAAACCATCCCAAAATCAAAATGTTTCTTTCTTTTGTTATTATTGTTATCTATAGTTGTTAGTTGTTGGTGACGTAATAAAAACAACATTAAAATGTTGATGAAATTGATTTAAAAACCAAACTGAAAAGTTACCTGTTGTGGCACCTTTTCATTTAAATTCAGTGATAAACTTCTGGATTTTAACAGCTCAGTGTTTCCCCACAGAATCTGAGAGGGGCCTCCATCAGACCCACTTGTAGGACTCTAATACATCCCAATAGATGGATTACGTTTACATTTATTCTTTTATCCAAAGCTGCTTACAGCATCTGGAGCAGCGAGGGGTTAAGCGTCTCGCTCAGGGACACGTGAGCCGAACTCCGGGTCTTTCGCACCAAAGGCCTGCGTCTTATCCACTGCACCATTACCCCCCACTGATACTGCAACATTCATTGTGAACTGTCCCCATTCAAAATGAAACTTCCATTTGAATATTTCTAAATGTGTATTTGCATGATGATATTAATTCAGTTTGTAATATTTTCACCCACCACATGACTACACACAGCAGAGTTTGGGAAAGTCAAACTGATGTCAGAAGGCCCCGCCCGCTCATGGTCTCGTCGACCAACGTGTGGACGTACCTTTAGAGGTAAAGAGATGACCGGCCTAAACAGGCAGTAATTTGTGCGCTGTGACGACGCCACATATCCGTAACACGCCCGCACCGCGGTACCGCTGGTTTCAGGTTCTACCACTAACTGAAAAACGACCTGGGGGAAACACTGAATAGCTGCTGCAGCTCAAAATAAAAGCACATAAGCCGTCGGTCGTTGGTAGATCAAACAAATGACGTGTAGTTGATGTTACTGGATATTTTTTATTCTGTTTGATATAAATAAATTGTTTCATAGTAGTTTCAGTTTTGTGTGAGAGGAATTAAAGGCCGGTCCCAAATACATCAGAGTTTCAGGGTACATATGATTCTGTCTCTGTCTGTCTCTGTCTCAGGCCCTCCCATTGGACAGCAGCTCAACAGCGGTAGGTCCACAGAGCTGTCAATCAGCCACTAAAATCATACTGGTGTTACTGAGCTCACCTCTCCTGTCACAGGATTGGTTAGTCTGAATGTGTGTTTGATGTTGCTCACCTGTGCGCTCCAGGGGGGCGTAGTCATAACAAACCGAGCTCCTCCTCAGCCAATCAGGGAGAAGACCTACACTGTGGGGAGGTGCTACGACACCGCCTCTGGCAGGGTCATCACCATGACGACCACAGATGACCACTCTGATGTTATCATGACGACAGGAAGTATTGAGACGAGTGGGCAGGTCAGAATCATCCCGTTGTCCAATACTGATGATGTCATCACAGGGGGACCGTTGATCACGATTCGTGAGGTGAAAACACCAACCTCCCCGTCTGAGCCACCTTCAGCGATCTGTGACTTCACCAGTGATGTCATCTGTGCGGATGACACCAGAAGAGGTGGATCTAGAAGTCTGGACCTCCATGGGGGCGGAGCCTCTCTGATCTCACCACTGACGCCCCTCCTCCTTCCTAAATCCCCACTGGGCGAGCTGAACCTTAGCCCCACCCTCACGCCAGGCCCCATGACTGGCAGGACATCACCCTCCATGGCCAGAGTGGTATGCTGATTGGCTGGTTGGTGGTCGGCATGGAAACGAGCATGAGGAGCAAACACGGCGACCCGGCAGGAACACGTTAACCCCCGCAGTGCTGAAACAGCGAGTGTGGCTGGTGGCTCGTCTGAGCCGGTTCAAACTGAACACTTCAGCTCTGAGAAACTGCAGGTGGAGCTCAGGTGGAGCTCAGGAGGAGAGCAGGTGGAGAGCAGGTGGAGCTCAGGAGGAGAGCAAGTGTAAAGCAGGTGGAGCTCAGGTGGAGTTCAGGTGGAGAGCAGGTGGAGAGCAGGAGGAGTTCAGGTGGAGTTCAGGAGGAGAGCAGGTGGAGCTCAGGTGGAGCTCAGGAGGAGAGCAGGTGGAGCTCAGGAGGAGAGCAGGTGGAGAGCAGGTGGAGCTCAGGAGGAGAGCAAGTGTAAAGCAGGTGGAGCTCAGGAGGAGAGCAGGTGGAGAGCAGGTGGAGCTCAGGAGGAGAGCAAGTGTAAAGCAGGTGGAGCTCAGGTGGAGTTCAGGAGGAGTTCAGGTGGAGAGCAGGTGGAGAGCAGGAGGAGTTCAGGTGGAGTTCAGGGGGAGAGCAGGAGGAGAGCAGGTGGAGCTCAGGAGGAGAGCAAGTGTAAAGCAGGTGGAGCTCAGGTGGAGTTCAGGTGGAGAGCAGGTGGAGAGCAGGAGGAGTTCAGGTGGAGTTCAGGGGGAGAGCAGGAGGAGAGCAGGTGGAGCTCAGGAGGAGAGCAGGAGGAGAGCAGGTGGAGCTCAGGAGGAGAGCAGGAGGAGAGCAAGTGTAAAGCAGGTGGAGCTCAGGTGGAGTTCAGGTGGAGAGCAGGAGGAGAGCAGGTGGAGCTCAGGAGGAGAGCAGGTGGAGCTCAGGTGGAGTTCAGGAGGAGTTCAGGTGGAGAGCAGGAGGAGAGCAGGTGGAGCTCAGGAGGAGAGCAGGTGGAGCTCAGGTGGAGAGCAGGAGGAGTTCAGGGGGAGAGCAGGAGAGCAGGTGGAGCTCAGGAGGAGAGCAGGTGGAGCTCAGGAGGAGAGCAGGTGGAGAGCAGGAGGAGAGCAGGTGGACAGCAGGAGGAGAGCAGGTGGAGCTCAGGTGGAGCTCAGGAGGAGAGCAGGTGGAGAGCAGGAGGAGAGCAGGTGGAGCTCAGGAGGAGAGCAGGTGGAGCTCAGGAGGAGAGCAGGTGGAGAGCAGGAGGAGAGCAGGTGGACAGCAGGAGGAGAGCAGGTGGACAGCAGGTGGCGGTGTTTCTCCTCCTGCAGTGAGACACCGTGGACAGCAGGAGGCAGTGTTTCTCCTCCTGCAGTGAGACCGTGGCCAGCAGGAGGCAGTGTTTCTCCTCCTGCAGTGAGACACCGTGGCCAGCAGGAGGCAGTGTTTCTCCTCCTGCAGTGAGACACCGTGGCCAGCAGGAGGCAGTGTTTCTCCTCCTGCAGTGAGACACCGTGGCCAGCAGGAGGCAGTGTGGAGCTGCAGTGTTCACTTTGAACTTCCCTCAGCTTCTCCCTTCACCTCCTCCCAGACGCCATTTTGTTTTTCCTCCTCCTCTCATCAACGAGCAGGTTTTCATTGTGTCGTTCAGTTGTTACCCAGTGTTCATCACTGGGTTTTGATTGGTTTCTAAAACCTAAACTCAGCGTTGCTTCTTTTAATCATAACGGTTTTCATGTTTATTACTTACAGCCGTGTCATTAATACAAAGAGTTTTAGGCTGTTAGGCTGCAGACCTGGTCCTGTTTTTTTCCAGTCTTCCCAAAATGCCTCAGTAAAGGTCAGATGAGCTCGTTCTCTCCTCTCATTGGTCAGCATCCGTGCTCCACCTCATGTTAGCTGCTAGCAACTGTTGATTCCACACATCAAATCCCATGATGCAAAGCTGGCAGGCTACAGGAGCCAGGTTTAGGACCAGTTGTAGTCTGGACAGATGGAGATCTGATCTCACTCCCCCAGAATCCATGTGTGAGCAGACCCAGACCGCTTCCCTCAGAGTCTCGGGGAGGTCATTTTAATCCAGTTTCCATTTCTGTGTTCTGATCTGAGCTAACTAGGCTCTTATTTTGTAGCTTTGTGCCTGCTGTGTTTCATCACTTCCTTCCTTTTGTGTCATTCTTCCTGTTTACAGGTCAGGAACTTCTATCACAGTTAATAATCTCTACTGCACATGTGCAACACAACTCGCCACTTGTTACTACCTGACAGATCACAGTGGATCCCAGTAGAACACAATAGAACACCGTGGAACACAGTAGATCCCAGTAGAACACATTGGAACCCAGCAGAATCCAGTTGAACATATTGGAACACAGTAGATCCCAGTAGAACACATTGGAACCCAGCAGAATCCAGTTGAACATATTGGAACACAGTAGATCCCAGTAGAACACATTGGAACCCAGTGGAATCCAGTTGAACACAGTGGAACACAGTAGATCCCAGTGGAATACAGTAGAACACCAGTGGTACACAGCGGAACCCAGTAGAACACAGTGGAACCCAGCGGAACATAGTGGAACACATTGCAACACAGTGGATCACAGTGCAACACAGCGGAACCCAGTAGATACCAGTAGAACATATTGGAGCACAGTAGATACCAGTGGAATACAGTAGAACACCAGAGGTACACAGCGGAACCCAGTAGATTCCAGTGGTACACAGTGGAACCCAGTAGAACTCACTGGAGCACAGTGAAACACAGTAAAAAACAGTGGAACCCAGTTGTTCCCAGTGAAACACAGCGGAACAAAGTAGAACCAAGGGGAACACAGTGGAACCCAGAAGCACATATTGGAACACAGTAGATCCCAGTGGAATACAGTAGAACACCAGTGGTACACAGCGGAACACAGTAGATCCCAGTAGAACATATTGGAACCCAGTAGATCCCAGTGGAATACAGTAGAACACCAGTGGAACACAGCGGAACCCAGTAGAACACAGCGGAACACAGTAAAACACAATGGAACACAATGCAACACAGTGGAACCCAGTAGTTCTCAGTAGAACACAGCGGAACCCAGTAAAACACAACGGAACATAGCGGAACCCAGTAGTTCCCAGTGGAACACAGTGGAACATATTGGAATAGAGTAGATCCCAGTGGAATACAGTAGAACACCAGTGGTACACAGCGGAAACCTAGTACAACACAGTAGAACACATTGCAACACAGTGGAACCCAGTAGTTCCCAGTGGAACATATTGGAATAGAGTAGATCCCAGTGGAATACAGTAGAACACCAGTGGTACACAGCGGAAACCTAGTACAACACAGTAGAACACATTGCAACTGTAATAGAATGATGTTGCATACATTTATTTGTCAACTGAAAACTGTAAAACCTGTTTATACCCCACACCCTCCCTGACCACGCCTTATTTGACCACGCCCTCTGCATGGCTGCAGCTTCGCTGTCAGTTTCTATTGAGAATCAAATTGAGATTTTATTTATTTGTGTGTTATTACTTTAAACGCTAAAGAAATCTGAGCTGTGGCAGTGACCTTTCCTCTGTTTGTCTTTCTAACCTTGTTTGTTTGTTTGTTTGTGTGTGTGTGCAGCCTAAACCTACATTCGATGAAATGTCTCCTGAGCTGAACGCTCTGCTGAAGTCCGCCAGGGAACAAAAAACCTTTAGAGAACACAACCTGCTAAAGGTGCCAGTCTACCTGTCTGTCTACCTGTCTGTCCAACTGTCTCTACCTGTCTGTCCAACTGTCTCTGCCTGTCTGTCTACCTGTCTGTCTACCTGTCTGTCTACCTGTCTGTCTACCTGTCTGTCTATCCTAAAGGCTCAGTCACAACAACATTAAAAATGGGGAATTTGTTCAGCTAATTAATTAATTTTAATGGAATCACCTCGATTGGTTTAGATCAGATTCACTAGTGGTAGTGAAGTACATCTCTGTCGTTATCTTCTATTCAATTTCATTATATTTTGCGTAGAATTTCCTAATATATATAGCAATATTTTAACGTATATGATGGTATATACTATTCTGGCATGACGGCAGGGTAACATGTAACATTAAAGCATTCACAGACACGTGTACATTCATATCAAATTCACTCATCCTACATGTAACACATGTACATTTCATCCCAATCCCCACCCTTTACCCTCTTACTGTGGTCAGAGAATATCTCTATCAATTCTTTCCAAATCTTTAAAGTAGGAGCCTCAGATTTTTCCTCTCACAGTGATTGTGAGAGATTGTACCCGATATAGCACACATCGGAGGTGGAGCAGATGCAGGTCGATTTATTTTCACATTGGAACACGGACAACTGACTTAACGGGTGGTGATGAAGTAGGCAGAGATGAAAAAAAAACAGGAATCAGCCTGGCACAGAGAGAAAACTGCTAGATCCACATCAAGGCAAGGGTCTTCACAGGACAGCAGTCCCAAACAGGCCAAAATCCAGAAACGGGCAAGGGTCATAAAGAGAAAGCAGTCCTAAATAGGCCAAAATCCAGAAACGGGCAAGGGTCATAAAAGGAAAGCAGTCCCGAACAGGCCAAAATCCAGAAACGGGAAAGCAGTCCTAAATAGGCTAAAATCCAGAAACGGGCAAGGGTCATAAAAGGAAAGCAGTCCCGAACAGGCCAAAATCCAGAAACGGGCAAGGGTCATAAAGAGAAAGCAGTCCTAAATAGGCTAAAATCCAGAAACTGGCAAGGGTCATAAAAGGAAAGCAGTCCCGAACAGGCCAAAATCCAGAAACAGGAAAGCAGTCCTGAACAGGCCAAAATCCAGAAACGGGAAAGCAGTCCTGAAAAGGCCAAAATCCAGAAATGGGCAAGGGTCATAACAGGCCAAAATCCAGAAACGGGCAAGGGTCATAAGAGGAAAGCAGTTCTGAACAGGCCAAAATCCAGAAACGGGAAAGCAGTCCTGAACAGGCCAAAATCCAGAAACGGGAAAGCAGTCCTGAAAAGGCCAAAATCCAGAAACGGGCAAGGGTCATAACAGGAAAGCAGTTCTGAACAGGCCAAAATCCAGAAATGGGAAAGCAGTCCTGAACAGGCTAAAATACAGAAACGGGCAAGGTTCCTAACGGGAAAGCAGTCCTGAACAGGCCTTTAGACCTTCAGACTAAAGACACAAACTGCATGCTGCAACACAATAACTCTGTCACACGAAACCATAGATATCTACACTCAATGATCAACATTGATCATCAACCCTAAATGTTTCATTCAAATTTGAAATGTAATTTAAAGATAAGAATCCTTTACAAAAGAGTTAATTATTATAATAATAATAATAATAACTTGTGTTTTTATAGCGCTTTCACAGGACCTAAGGGCGCTTTACACATAACTACAGAGACAGAAAAAAGTCATTCAGGGTTGAATGCCTTTGTAAAGAGGTGGATTTTTAGGGTTTTTTTAAAGGTGTCCAGAGAGGGACCCTTTCAGATCTCTGTGGGGATGGATTTCCAAAGGGTGGGGGCTGCGACGCTGAAGGCTCTGTACCAAGTTCAAACAAAACATGTTCTCAATTCAACAGTTTCTTGCGTTTAAGTGACAAGTACTAGCCAATCACAGCACAGTAAGGCGGGACTTGTCAAAACTGTCAGGAACAAAAACCCTGTACACCAGGGGCGAGTTCAATCTCAAAACGTTTTGCAACATTTTGCAGCGTTTTCAGATTGAACGACATGTTTCCTTGTAATGTTGTCCAACGTTCCACAACAGGCTTCAAGGTATCTTTTC